CCAGTGATGTAATACATGAATGTCTGCTTTTAGATACGTGGGTCTGTACCAACTTTTTGGAGTCAAAAAGGTTATAAATATCGTCCTCCTCTCACTATTGAACGTCCGCTTGAAGAAAGTATGCCGTATTTCACAACACATATGCAGTCGCTGCTAGAACATTATGGATCACCTTTGGTCGTCGTGAATCTTGTTGACCAAGCTGGAAGGGAGCTGAAGCTAGCCAAGAGTTTTGTAGAGGTCTGATTAGGGCATTTGCAGATTGTGAAGAGATGGTTCGCGGCTCAAGCTTGCTTGAATTCGCTGCCTGGAGCAGCAATCAAAGAAATGGCTGCAAGTGCATCTACCACAATCTGTAAAGGGCCCATTATTGGATTTATACATGCGCTCATCATCTTGCAAGTTGCCTTTCAGCATGCTGTGAAATTTGATTCGCCTAACTTGCACTTCGTTTCATTTGATCTTCATCGTCAATGCCGCGGCTTGAAGTTTGATAAGGTAAAATTTAATCTATCTTTCTTTATTGTCTCGGTACCGTTGTTTCAGATTAATGATCTCGTCTCAAGACTACATGAATTATTAGGAGAAATTAGTTATTGTTGGGTGGACAAAACAGGTTGGCTTTTTTCATCATTCAGTAATCTGTGTAAAGCGTTAATTCAGGTGAAGTTGTAAAAACACAACGTGGTGTAGTGCGAACCAATTGTATAGACTGCTTGGATCGTACGAATTTAGTGCAGGTTTAAACAAATACAACTTGCTCTGATTTTTGACTTTTATACCTGTGTAATTTTGTTCATACATTTTTCATTGTTTAGGGAGCGATATCACAATGGGTTTGCATGCAGCAAGCCCAAAGGCTAGGACTGTTCGGTCCACTGTGTGAGCCACCCGAGGCTTTGGTGCTCCTGCTGCAAAACATGTGGGCAGACAACGGTGATGCTATCTCGACACAGGTGTGTTTGTCAGTTGGTTCTGGCGGTGTCGAACGTGCAGTCATTCAGTCTTTTTTCCGGGATTTTTCTGTTAACCAATATCTATTTAAATGCTCACAGTATGCTGGGACTGCAGCTCTGAAAGGAGATGTCACTCGAAGCGGCGAGCGACGATTTGCTGGAATTATGAAAGATGGCTATAACAGTGCATCACGTTACTATCTCTCCCATGTGCGAGATTCATCTAGGCA